AGGCACGGGCGAGCTCGCGCTCTCTCGCTCTCTCTCTCCCACACACAGGCACGGGCGCGCCGTACCGCTGGGTTCTCAAAGAGCAAACAGGAAGCTACTCTGACGGGTCAGTGAGAAGTCTGACTGCCGTCAGGGGATGAGTGTGTCTGGAAAGTTTCAACCCCAAACCACACCACGGCACTAGGAACCGCAGGTGTCAAAACCTGCACCAGGCATCGCTGGCAATCTACAAACCACCTCACCGTCACACAGCAGGACAAGACCGACGTGAAGGTGACACTGCTGATACCTGCTGCAGGAAGGTCGTGGACAATATTCGGTTGTTCCAGAAGAGAACAGCACGGAGGGTCTTTGAAATTCTGTGTTTTCAGAGCTTTCAGGAAAGGAGAGTGAAGGCTGCTGGTAGATTCTGAAGTTTTATAGTCGGTAACGTGTCGACATGTGAGAACAGTTACTTGCATATTCTTCCTTGGACAAGAGCCAAAGACCTAATGTAAAAATTGATCCTAAATTAAAGCGCGCAATGTTGTTGCAGAGTGGGCTGCTCACCCCGCTGGCAGTGGGCTCCTGCCTCGCAGGCCTGCACGCTGGTGTGGCGGTGTGGCCGCCCTCCCCGTGTCCGCCGGCACTGTCACTTGCAGGTGGGTGGCCTCCTCTCTGCGAACGAAGGCCAGGGCTACCTCCCGCAGGAGCCGCAATCTAGGCAGACGAATCGGGAACACCACCCAGGACGCCGCACCGTCACCAGAGTAAAGGAGCTGGGAGCACGTGCAGAGACCAAGGTCCCACAGCCAGCCACAAATGGTGCTTCGGAATTTCACCTTAGACGACTGTAACTGTCGGAAGTGGCAATCGCGCCAGGCCTCAACACCCTCCTCAGTTTCTACCTGCTAGCTTTCCGAGGACACCGACAGCTTTAAAACCCACAGCAAGGGCCCGCGCTGGTAGTCCAATAGGCTACAGCGCAGCACGCTGAAGCTGTCTGCAGCTGCTGCCGCACGGGCTCCACCCCAGCCGGGAGTGACCCCAGGGTGCAGCACACCCCTCCTGTCTCCTCACTGCTCAGGGGATTTCAGCCATCTGCCTCTTCTGCTCCCCACTCTGTCTCTCGCAAATCCTCTCACCACCACCGCCCCCGCACCTCTGGCCTGTGCCCCAGTTCTTACATGCTACAAATAATTCTTTAAAAAACACAGCTGCCCCTGCGCCCGCCGCCCCGTATGCTCTCACCTTCTCCAGCCACTGGTGCTGCTGATCCTCAGCAACGTAGCAGCTGCACTGGCAAAGGACAACCTGAAACACCAAGTTGCAGTGCTGTCAGGGCAGAGACCTGACGACACGGCCAGCCGTCACACAGACGTGCTGCGTGGACCCGCACACAACACTCAGACACTCGTTTCCTGAACCTGCTACCGACTTTTCCTCAAAATGTAAGAATCAGGTCTCGCTGGCCGTGAATGAGGCAAGCGCACACTGGATCGCTGAGACAGCGCTGTCCCGCCAGTGACAGGGACGCCCGGCCGCCGCCCTTCTCATGTGAAGAGCAGACGCAACAGACGCGCGCTGAGACGTCAGCAGGCCGAGGCACGGCGCTGCCCACTGCCCACACAGACGGCTGCAGCCCGACGGCGTCGAGCCCAAGCGCGCCCTGCAGAGCCGCCGCGGCCTGGACGAGGGGCCAGCTCCAGACCCTGTGGTCGGAGCGAGACGACTGGCAGGGCTACTGCTGCCCCGGGAAGTCCGCTGGCTCCTGAGGGCGCTGGCGGAAACAGAGGAAGCGCGAAGGGGAAGCCAAGCAGAAGACCGGACCTGCCGCGGAGGTTCTCGGCCGCCGGCCGACAGCTAACTGCAGGAAGGACCAGATACAGAACATGCTCAGTGTCTTCACTGATTCCCTATAAATGCTGGATGCTCATAAAAATTCTCATACAAACTACAAGCCTTTGGGTTAGAGGTTAGGGAAACAAAGTCTGACTATCACGGAACCCAAGTGCTCGGTTTTCAAGGCTCAGACCTGGCCGTTCCCCGGGGAGGTAAGCCCCGACACCCCTGGGAAACTACCGAGCTGGGAGGAGGCCCGGAGCCTGCCACCTCCTCCCCGAGGTTGCCCATCCCGTTTCCTCTGACCCAAGGTAGGATCAGGTCAGCGCGATCCAGTGCAATCTGCCTGCAGCAGTCACAACGCAGGCGAGGGCGAGGACGAGAGCTCGTGTCCACAGAACAGCATCAGCGTGAAGCGCTCACAGTCCAGTGTTCCCGATTCCCGATGGCCAGCGCGGCCGCATGGCCGGCACTGGCTACACGCCAGAAATATACAGTGTAACACACTGCACATAAGATACACAGTAACCCGGGGCACAGCCTGTGTGTGTTTAGAGCTGCCCACTGAAATAACTTTTTGAGTGGGGGCAAAGCTAAACAGCCGGTGCTCACAGTTTATTTCCAACAGTATTTCAGCTTCATAAGAACTGATTAACGCACGTATGTGCCACACTAACATTTATTTTCTAAAAAGTGGCTATCACTACGACCTCCATGCAGAAATCCTCACAGAGCAACAGATGGGAGTGCGGGCTCCGATGAACACCCCATCAATGCGCCTAAATCACTTCTTCAACGCACCCTTGAAGTCCCACATACCGAGGGATTTGACTTCAGATGATAAAACACACAAAAAGCCTCTGCGGGGGACAGATGCGTCGTGTCTGAGGTTCGGCACCGCTCATTCCAGAACCGGGCACAACCGACTTCTTCCCAGACTCCGGAATTCATGACAAATGATGACAAAAATGCTGTGAAAACAATCGATGTAAGTTAGCATTTGAGTCTAATCAATAAGGGCAGCTTCAAGCTACTCTAAAATTTCAAAGCTTCAGGAGCCATTCAAGATGCTGCACCTTACTCTGCTATGACGTCTTAAAAACAGACATCCGTGGGCCCTCCCTGGTGGCGCAGCGGGTTAAAGCACTGCACTAAGAAGCTTAAGCCACTTCCCCATGAGTTCAATCCCCGCCTGCCCCGGAGGTGACCACAGGGTGCGGAAGACCTCTCCTGACCCGCCCGCTGCTCCCCTCAGCAGCATACTCCATCAGTAATCCTGTTCTGCTCCCCGCTCTGTCCCTGGTGAATCTTCTCACCCTCCACATCTCTGGCCTGTACCCCAGTTCTGTATGAATAAATAAATCTTTAAAAAAAAAAAAAAAAAAGACATCCGTAATCTCTTTTGATGGAAAGAAATGTTCCAAATTTGGTCTTTCAACAAAATGTCTCATCTTCTGCATTTCCACTTACCTACTGCGTTATTTCCTATAGCAATTATAAAGTTGGAGCAAGGATATTTTTCCAGCAGAGTAACTTCCAAAGATGTTTTTGTCTGTCTTCCAAAGAGCCGCACCTCCCTAACACAGGAAATGAAAGAGGAGAAAGCACTTAAATATTATCACCCAGAAAAGATACAATGACTGAGCCACAGGTAAAATGCTGGCTTTACTGAGATGAAGAACACAGTGACAGGCAACACTCGTGAAGAGCACACCCGGAGGCCGTCCACCAGACCTGGCCACCCAACAGTCCTGGTGCCCCAGAATGGAACTCTCAGGCGGTGAGCGCAGCCGGCAGCACCCTGGAAGCATCCCTGCCCCCAAAACTCGCGATCTGACCTCGATCAAGCCTCGGGGAAAGCTGGTGATGGACACCTAAATGACACCGCTAGAAGCAGACAAATTCAGTGTGGGGCGCTGTCCAGACAGGGCAGCTGGGTCTGCAGCAGAGGTGAACAGAGGGGCAGCCCGATGCCGTGAGGCTGCGCCCACCAGCCCCAGTATCAAATGACAGCCTGAGACAGCAGGACAAATGTGAGCGCACTGGCTCTTAAACAGTTTACAATTATGACTGCTGCGTCAGGCTCGCTGGTATTTACAGAGCAAAATGCCCAGGGCCTGAGGGCTCCCCAAACCCGAGGTTCAGGCAGGGCGGCTGGACCCGGGGCGGGGTGTTCTTCACCGTTTCCCCATTTCTGCATGTCGGGAAGGTCCCTTTTGAAAACCAAAAGTTGCATCACCGGCCTGTGCCGGACACCCCGCGGGCCGAAATGAAGCTGAGAACGTGTTGGGGGTACCGGCGTAGCTGCTGAACGGAAGGAAAGCTGCCTGTCGGGCCGGCTTGGGGGCCGCAGGCCCGAGGTCAGGAAGCGGGCTGCCAGCGCCACGGGGCGAGGGGCACAGCAAGGGCAGGGCGCCCAGCCCGTCGCGCTTCACGCTGCAGCGCAGGCCCGCGCCAGCGTCTC